CGGAGCTCCCCGATAAACCTTAGGCAGAGAAGGTGACGAGCACTATAAATGAGGACGTGGGACAAAATTATTTCGTTTGTGTTTCACTGACTTATCTGGTGGTCGATACACGTATGTATCTGTATATATATATATATATATATATATATATATATATATATATATATATATATCCTTAGGATGTTATAAGTACAACAGTGATAAAAAGTACATTTGTCTTGCCTCGTTACCATAGAAGGACATGCGCACGAATCGGACGTTCTGCAACATATCTGTCAAAAAGCTCAAGCCTCGTTTTAGGTCCTACACCCTCTTGTCATGCTTGGAATAAAAGCCCGATCCTTTACGTCTATCTGGCTGTGTGCTCTTTCTCCGCTTAACTTTGCTACCCCCCCCTTTTTTTCGGAATGCCTACCGGCAAAGGTTGCGGACCGCTATTATTAAAATAGCAAGAGACAGAGAGAGAGTGCACGTCATTTTCGAAATTTTGAGAGCGTTGTGTATATGTGTCTGTGTGTATGTATGACCGTGTATGTAAAAAGAGAGAGAGAGAGAGAGATAGAGATAGAGATAGATAGATAGATAGAGAGAGAGAGAGAGAGTGAGAAAAAGGGAGAAAAAGAGAGAGAGAGGGAGAGAAAGAGAGAGAGAGAGAGAGAGAGAGAGAGAGAGAGAAAGAGAAAGAGAGAGAGAGAAAGAGAAAAAGAGAAAACGAGAAAGAAAGAAGAGAGGTAGTCATCATGAACACTTCTCCACCCACCGTATGCCTCCTCTCACTCTCTGTCCCATATCTATCCATCGATCCCCCTTTTTACTTGGCTGGCCCTGTACGTACGGGGTGATGAACTAGGTGGAGCTTTTCTACCTTATTTTGCGTCGTGTTTTAACCTTTCCCAATGCGCTTCCACCCACAGTGTGACAATACATATACGCGAGGCTATATATGCACGTATAAAGCCTAACCATATGAATCATACATTGCATGCTAGTATAGGGTCTAAATGCATGATTTCGTGGTCGTACCCTAAACACATCGATGAATAAACGTGAATGTCAGAACGAACGCTGGATGTGTAGCTCATCATAGATATGCAGAAACCAGAAAAGCGCGAAGGACTATAAGTAAGGAAATAGTGTATAAGATTAAGGTATGGAGTCTTGACTGATCAAGTATACTCGAATCAAACCCCGTACTAGTCGGGCTCGATGAATTGGAAAATAGCTCCATGCTATAATAAGAATACTAACGCAACCATTGCCTAAGCTGACCTTTCCCCTGTTCCGAAATCGACAGTTCTATCGCCACCACCACTGTTACCATTCCGCTGTATCACACGGTGCCATCCCTCATACATCCAACACATACCAATCCCTTCTACCACAACCCCCCCCCCCCATCGTAATCACCTTCCCCTGCCCCACTAGTGCCCTTCCTCCTCCTGATATATCAGTAGACCCCCCTACCCCCAGTGTCTCCTCGCCCTTTCTCAAGAACAACAATCCCCCATCTAGTATGGACGATAATACCCAGCACCATCTTCCTTGAAGCAGTCTACTAATTATACCACGATAACCTGTACTCCCACTACTATCATCTTCCCTACGTACTGCATTACTGAGAAGTGAGATAAGTGAGACTAAGCAACTACTGAAATTACTGTAGTAGGCGTACTCGAATCCTTCCTACATAGTCATGATCGCAAAATGTGGGTAGATCCCTACCTGTTAATCCCCCCAGAACCGGTCCATCTCACCATGACCGACGTGATTTACGCAACTATCCCTAATAGAATATGATTTGCACCCCCCCTTTCCCCCCCCCCYCTCCTTTCTTTCCCCTCTTTTTCTCCCCCTCTCCCCTCTTCTCCCCGTTCCTTATCTCACCTAGATGCAAACCCCCTCATTATGCTTTCCTCTGTTCCTCAACCGATAGCTCTATCGACAACCGATAACCTCCTGATCACCGCCCCCGTTACCATTCCTCTTTATAACATGATGCCCTCCCTCATGCACCCAGCGCGTACCAATCCCTTCTAACCAATACTACTACCCCCCCCACCATAATCACCTTCCCTGGTGGCACATAGGCATGATCGCTTCACGCAGATAGATCCCTACCCGCTGATCCCTCCAGACATGGGCCATCTCACTTTTTTGCACATCTATCCCTAATAGGATACGTTTCGCACCACCTCTCTCCCTCCTTCCCCCTCTCTCTTTTTCCCCCTCTCCCTACCCCCCTCCCCTGTTCCTTATCTCATGTACCCCCCGTTTCTCCCGGCTGTGCCTATTCGAGCGGCTTCCCCACTGACCGCACCCCTCCCCTTTTGTAGGTTGGAAATGCAACTCCTCTTCCCTCCTCCCCCATATAAGCCGTCCAATTCCGTCACCCCTCACCAACTAGGTGCAACCCCATGTCCACACTCCTTACATCTGCTACCACTCATACCGTCATCCGTCCAGTTTCACTACCCCACACTCGATGCTCACCTCATAGTAATTAATAATCACTGATGCACTATTGATCGATTGAAATTTTCGTGCTCTACCCTATCCCGCAGTCACACTCCCTATATCAGTACGTCTACTAGGGAGAAGTGGCACGTTGTGTTGCCTTCTACATAAACGTTTAAAGAAGGATCATTCAAAATGGAATACTTAGTGAAGCTTTGTATATTTACACGGAACCATGTTCGTTGGCACGTCGATTGATTGCAGGTATGAGAAAATGCACACTGGCATTTGGTCGGGATGCATGATTTTGTAACCATACATTAGCAATCTTTCCTCCTGCATCAGCCTTTCGCACCCACTCATCTCTTACCACAACAATCCCCTCACCAAGATACCACGATCAAACTCCTATATTACCAGTCACACAAGCCACGCTGTCTCACAAACAATATTAGCCTTAAAAATACGTCGATTTAGGCGTATACATAGAAATTATTTCGAAAAACATGTTCACCCCTGATAAGAACCTTACCTCCGCAGCTCATGTGTGACAGACAACGAAAATAAGACATGAATATCACGCTTCCCTAATATAGCATACAAGGGCTTAACGCATCACATGGCTGTTGTAATCCTTTCTCTTAACACTCACGCACACCACACTACTACCTATCCACGATAACCCCTGTCTCTTCACATCGCCTTGCAATCTCTTTTAAACATACCGCAAAAATCAACTAGCCACTCGTACACTGCTCTTCCCCGCGATAACACTTCAGGATATCGCCTGTACGCAACACTATAATCCCGCTAGAAACAACTTCAAAAACACACACATATATCTATGTATATACACATATATATGTATACGCATACCCACACACACGCATATATGTACTGGCAAACACACCTGCCATGTATTTAAAAGAAGAAAAGGTTAACAAAATAACCACTTCCTGACACACGAAGGCTGCTCACAAACGCAAAGAAACCATGCACAACAGAGAGAAAACAAAAAAATGTTGCATCCAGAATAGAAACATGAGCGCAATTACGCAAAAAATCACTGGCCAATTCAAAAAGACTCCAAAATGTTGTACACAAATCAAGGCCGTAAACCTCGCTAATAGTAACTATCCACACCCTGTTGCGCCCCTCCTCACGCAATTGTGACTACTGGCATCATTATGGCAAACAGGTACACCAAATCTATAACCAGAGAAAACTATACTACTAATTTCTCCAGGATCCTCTGGTAGGAGGTGTTCCAACCAAGAAAGATTTCACACCCCACCTACACAGTAGCACCCAGAAACCAACAACCATGCCTCCTGCTAAACCAAACACCTACTAAACCATACATGTACTTGGTCAACCCCACCTCCAGAAACTACATATCATAACGCAATTCCCCTTGCAGATATGAGCGTGCCTCCAATGGCGCATCCAGAAATACCTCCCATTCAGCAATACCTGCCATGTGCCCATCATGCTCATTTGCCACACATGACAACAACATTCGTACGATCTTCTCAACCAGATCTTTGCCTCTACCTCCAGGAGGATTCGGCACATCATCATGCACTTTCGTAACATAGACGCCTACATCACAGAGATCATCTCCCACATACCCCAACCCCATCTCTAGACGAAGCACCAATATACCATTTGCGTCGATCTCATATCCGCAATAGTTGAAACGTGTATCCGCGGATACAAACCCAAAGTCACGATCCGGTTTTACATCCCGCAACTTTGTCATCTCATAAACCACTACAGTGCGTCCACTCACCTCCCCCCGACACACAGCTACAGTCGCCATCACCAATCACCCGACCGCGCACAATGGATACAACGTCCTCTAACCATCGATCGAGATTACGACCACCATCTCTGCGCGTCAGCCACCAATCCAAAACCAGCTACACTCCATCAGCAGAAACTGCACAATTCCTGCATGTACAACCATGTATTTATACTACACCTGCGCAAGCAAAAAACCAAAAAAAAAAAACCAATAAAACAGAAATAACTTCCACAAATAAACACGGGAACACACCAACCAAAACTCTCCCCCTACCGTCAATACATACTATAACCCCAGTCGACCTCCCCAAAACTCACCTTGTAAAAAACAGATCTGCGCCCGCGGCCCAACCCCACTTTTCACCCCCCCAAAATATATATTAAAAAATAGAGATATATATTAATTTTTTTTCCCAGCTCTTGCAGACATCGAACTTGAAAATATCAATTCCCCTTGCTATCTGATCCCAACACCTACCCCCACCCCCTGGATATATCTCAAATACCGACACTATACAACCTATCATTCCTACACCACACCACCTATTAACCCCTGAAACTCAAACTACCCCCTCCTCTCAAACACGCTACTACGCCTATAATTTGAACATCCTACAGTTATATACATACCATCGGTCCCCCTACAAACGCAGCCTGCACTGAACATAGGGCACGAATCCTTACTAACCACAACATACAAAGAACAACCCCCCCCCCCCGATCGCTCACACTCATAAACAATTTGCTTGCCCTGTTGATTACGCATGCTATGATAGAGTTGCCCACCACTCTCACACTCCAGCTACACTTACCACCCAAACACTAACCACGTGCTTCGCCTGATCGATCAACATGCAGGATGACTTCGACGGCAGTTCTGGCTGGCATACTGAGCTCATCGAGAACGTCCGGCCCTTTGCTTGCCTCGCGCCGCCCAGCATCCATGCACAGATTGTGATGCTTGCGCTACCGCAGGCTGTTCTCCATAGAGTCCATCCTGCATCCAGCTCGCAAGCACCGTTCCTTATCGAGAACCTTCTCTTCTCCGATTGGGCCATCATCTTGGGTAAATGGAAGCCCCTCCTAGGGGATGAAGAGGCCGTCATCAAGACCTACGCCAGAGACATCAACACAATCATCGAGCAAGCTGCCAAGCAGAACCGCGACATGGACAAGATCGTGGCTTCCACAGAGAAGACCATCCTCGACATGCACAGCTTCAGCTCATCGCACATTACCGTCGCTGGGGAAGTTAGTAGCCTTCACGAATCCAGCGAACACAAACTCAAGGTTGCTGAGAAGATGAACCTCTCTAAAGCAGAAATGGAATGGTATATCCAGAGGGTTGCTGAGAGAAAGCAGCTCGCCGCCAAACCCCTAACCGGCACTCCCACACCCCGCAGATCCAATAACTTTAAGATGTCCCCTGATACTCCCTTCATCCCACTGCAAACATCTCGCTGGATCGAGAATGTCAGCGCCCCGTTTGAGAACAAACTCTGGCGCATGGATTCCTTCAACCATGCAGCTCCGATCTTCATTCAAGCCTACACTGCCCTTGCCAATCTCTCACCCAAAGATCTTAATGAATGTCGAAAAGACGCTGCCAAAGGCACTATTGCCTTCCCCCCTGGAAAGTTGCACCTTGACTGCAACTTTCCTAACCTCGCTCCTCTCGATAACACCAAGTGTCCCAAATGTCAACCTGTCCTGCACACCAAGACCATCCAGAAGCCCACCGATGACGTCTTTGAGTTCAAGAAGTTGTGGAACTCTAGCAGACCATATCTCAGAGATGCTCCTGCCCCTCACAAAATGGCTCGATCACATGGTTCGACCACATGCTGTGGTTCTACATCGCCAATCTCGATATCTTCGAGACTGAATGGAAGAAACATGTAATGTTACAGGTTACCTTCCTTTATATGCGCAGGCACATGATGAATCTCACCCATCTCGCTGCTGCTGATCCCACATGCAACTCCACACAGCTAATTGTCAGAGCTCCATACTCCACCATGCCCTTCGCCAGCAGCTTCGCTGCTACACTCATCCCGCATACTGCTAACAAGCAGATCCCAACCCCCTCCTCCTTGCACAAACGCAAAGACCCACCGTTTTCGAACATCGTCCAGAGAAGCAGGCACAGGCAGGCAACTATCCCATTCTCAACTGCACAATCGTCTCCACGAACCACCACCACGGCCTTTCATACGCCCACCACAACCTCCGAAACACCCCCCCCCCCCCCCCCCC